GGGAGCGAGGGAGGTGAAGGACCTGTTCAGTGAACAGTTTTGGAAAGAAATGGGGGAGGGGGAGAATAATTTTCTACAAACTGCAAATCTGTGGACCGAAGCAGAGGTGATTAGATGCCAGTGACATACAAATACCACAAACTCAGTCATCTGAAGTGAGACTTGAAATACACAAATGTTGCAGTTCAACATATGTCCTTTCTTCAAGAGCATTAATGTCAAGCATGAATGCCACCAAGACTCAGTTCACTGGTAAAATTAGTTGCAGTTGGTAGAACTTGATAGCATGCCCTTGAAACCAATGAATGAGCAGTTGACAGTGATGAGCAAGATGTACAAAAGGCACTATACTTGACTTTATTTTTGCTTGCAGTGATTTTCTCTGACATAATTAGAATGTTACAATAAAACAAAACTACTCACCGGTGAAGAGATAACAACGGCTGTAAGTTTAAGCCTGGAAAGATAGATGGAAGAATCAGAGAAATGTCACATAGCTTCTTTAAAACCTTTTGTGGCTGAAATTCAGCATCATTAGCAATAGAAGAAAAGATGGCAAAAACAGACAACTACATGTCCAAGTCTGAATTCAACACCACCAACGCCTCTTGGTGTTACTGCTCAAAAAGTGCCCTCAAGTTTTTAGAGGAGCCATTCAATGTTGCTGAAGTATACTTTGTGGAGAAGAAGAAAATTCAACATGTGAAGTCTCCTGAAAGTCAGAATATGGCCAGAAAGGCCTCAGTTTCAAACACGGCCATTGTGTCCAGGTGTGTTAGAGTACTCCCAGGTAATGGAACAGATTTGCTCCCCTTCAAACACTTCCAAGGACCTGAAAAATAGTGTCATCCTATTCATAGACATTTGGGCTGGAAGGGACCCCAGAGGATCATTGAATCCAGCCCCCCGCCCCAGGGGCAGGAAGTCAGCAGGGATCATAGGATCCCAACAAGATAAGCATCCAAATGTGTTCTGAAGGAGTTCAAAGAGGGCACTTGAACCGCCTCAGGTGGCAGTCTGTTCCAAACCTTGGGGGCTCAGACAGTGAAGAAGTTCTTTCTTATGTCCAGCCTGAACCGGTCACAGTGGAGTTTGTGGCCATTCAATCTAGTCATCCCTTGTGGGGCTCTGGTGAACAGTTGTTCCCCCAGATCCTGATGAGCACCCCTGAAAAGCTTGTAAGTGGCCACCAAATCACCCCTGAGCCTGTGCTTTTCCAGGCTGAATAGCCCCATTGCTCTCAGCCTCTCATCATAAGGTCTGTTTTCCTGACCTCTGATCATGCGCATGGCACTCCTCTGCACCCTCTCAAGCTTCTCCACATCCTTTTTGAATTGCGGAGCCCAAAACTGGACACAGTACTCCAGCTGTGGCCTCACCAAAGCCAAGTGCAGGGGGAGAATGACGTCCCGGGATCTCCTTGAGAACAATCCCATTGACCACCACCCGCTAGGTCCTACCGCGGAGCCAGTTCCCCAGTGGATTGTGGTGACATCAAGGCTGCAGTTAGCCAGTTTAGCCAAGAAGTGATTGTGGGATACCAGGTCAAAGGCTTTTTTGAAGTCGAGGTATACAACGTCCATCTCTTCCCCCTTGTCCAGGTGATAGGTCATCACCTGGTCATAAAAAGGAAATGAGATTGGTCAAGCAAGACCTACCCACAACAAACCTATGCTGGGCATCCCTCAGGATATTGCCTTCAGCTAGCCTGTTAAGGATGGCCTCCTAGATAATCTTTTCCAAGACTTTCCCCAGGATAGAGGTCAGGCTGATGGGCCTGTAGTTTGCCAGATCTACTTTCCTCACTTTCTTGAAGATAGGCACAACATTGTCCCTCTTCCAATCATCAGGCACC